ACTGCCAAGAAAACAAACAGATCCATCCTAGAGAGGGTTAAATCAGGCTACTCCTTGGAGGCAAGGATTCTGGGGCTTCATCTGACATACTTTGGACATGCAGGAGAGACAGGTCCTTGGAGAGGGACATCATGCTTGGTAGGATAGAGAGACAGTGGAGGAGGGGAAGACCCTCTATGAGGTGGATTGATTCAGTGACTGGGGTGATCAGGATGGGTGTGTCAGAGGCAATGTGAATGGCACAGGATAGAGCAGGGTTTAGGGCTGTTGTACATAGGGTCGCTATGAGTCGCAAACGACTCGATGGTACATAACAACAACAACAACAACGTTACTAGATACCACTTATTAAGCACTTTCTCAGTGCTAGCATCTACTTCACACAAGTACAAACTGAAGCCTGGAGTTAGGTTAAACAACAGACTCAACTACACAGGCAGTAAATGCTTAAACTGGAACTGGAGACTTCAGGTCATTTCAAAACCTGTTCTAACGCCATGTCTAGCTATCAAGCTCAACAGCCTTTGTGAAAACACTTGATGATGTGCAAAAGTTATAAATGCTAAATGCTGTATTTAAAAGGGAGCTCTAGGCAAGCTCTGGTGGCCTAGTGGCAAGAAGCTGCACTGCACTCCCAGAAGCACACTGTTTGAATCCACCAGACGCTCGAAGGAGGGACAATCCCTCTAGTACTGGTCAGATCCAATTTGACAGTACACACAAAAAATAATAAAACAAAACAACAAAAAAAGGGAGCTCTAGAGGGCTAGAGGTAAGGAGCTGTGTTGCTATCACAAAGGCATGAAGTTTAAACCCATCAGTTACTTCACAAGAGAAAGAAAGATGGGCTACCTTCTCCCATCTTGCCTCTGAAAACCCACTGGAGGATCAGTGATGAGTCACACAACAAGAATATTTAAAAGCTAAAATCATTATTGTAGAATGAGTATAAGGATCCAAGATGGGTGAGAGAGGGTAGAAAAAGAGATGAGGATGTACAAGGGGAGAAGAGGGACTAATCATGGGGTTGTACAGTTTGATGGGAGTGGGATAAGGGAAATATAAAGAATTTGTTTGTAAAAACAATGTATTGGAATTTCGTAAGTAAACTAGTAGAAAATTTTTTTTAAATTGTAGGAAAAAAAGAATATTTAAAAGTACTCATTTCCCCCCCTCCTTCTCAATAGAATTAATTTTTGACAAAACTGTCACTATCAGGTATTCAACACAAATATTAAAACAGACATTCCAGTTCTAGAGTTGGCTTAATATTCTTTTGTTTTCAGTCCTGACATTAAAACTGGGAGTGGTGAGGAAGAATTTTTCAATTATTACTTACAAGGCTCCTTAATGTGACAAAGACAAAGAAAGGTATGCTATTTATCTCAGTCACATGAACAAATTTTGTCAGCTGTGGTGGTAAAAATATGAAATGTTGCTTCCCTATGGTTTGCATTAGTCTTTAAACTGTCAGGAAGAATCTAGACTGAGACTGTCTCTATGGTAACAAGTATTTTTAACTTTTTTAGCATAACAAGGCAATTTTATTTTACTTTTGGTTTCTAAATGGTCAGAGGGAAAGTGACAAAACAGCATTATTTCATGAAACCTAGGAATATTTCCTCCTAATCAGCTGTAATTTTGCCCCCTTCTATTATAATGAAAACCCTTAAAAGTATTCCTGTTACAAAAACTTTATTATTTCACTTTAGAGCCCTTTATGAGTTGCAACAGTACTGTACTTAACTGACTTTCTAGATAAATCTTCATTTTCTACATTAATAATCTACTTTATAATAAAGGTCAAGCAATGATAAATGTGGGGTTTTTTTATCTTGTGAACTATAAAATCTCCAAGATGATTTGTGATTTATAGTATTTTATTTTATCCTCCTCAAATTCTATATAGTAATTTACCTATAGATTTTCTTTAGCATTCTCATAAAAGTAAATTTTTGATGAGATTGCACTCCCAAGACTTTCCTGGGTTGGTTCTGACATATGTTGAATGCCTTTTTCTGTTTGTTTTACCTAAAGAGGTTTCACTTTCATTGTCTTTTGTTATCAATATCCTTATAAACTTGATCTTTATTTCATCTTTAGAAGTTGGCACATGAGAATGGCAACACCAGCAAGTTATCTGCTTCAATATTACTGCATACATGCGTGGGCTGGGGGGCAACATGACACAAAATTTCACAGCTGGTCCTAAAGTGCAGTTCACTGTAATTAGAATACATAGTTATATTTGTATAACTTTCGATTTTTGGTACAAGAACTTACACTATATACCACTGCTAACCAAAATGAATGAGCATTTTCTTTTCCTATTTTTAATGGTCCATTTAGCTCGGCATATTATTTTCATTTTTTTAATCAATTTGAACCCTCTTTAAATATTCAGAAATATTTCACCTTTTGGAGGAACAGACATTTAACTTAAATCCTAACAATACTACCAAATCAGCAAAGTAATATAACTTTTCACTACTTTTAGCCTAATGGTTATTTATTGGTTTATAATAAATAATTGTGGTGCTATGGACTTATTATTCAAAATGACTTCCTTACCCACTGACTTACTTTGCCTTGTAAATAGGCAGGAATTTGCAAACAGTATGTTAGCCAATTCAAAGGGGACTGCTAGTCTTGCCATTAAATTGAATAGATTTAAAATTGGAGTTTCAACACCAGTAAAGGAGAAACACGCAGGGGCCACCCTTCGGGATCAGAGATTCTTTCATCAACTAGACTTACAGCAGCAACTGAGTGGCCAAAACAGAAGACCAAAGAACCAACATGAAATAGAGATGAGACCTCGGCAACGAAGGTGGGGGACAGACTTGTGGCACTGTTGAGCAAACACTGTGGCAAGATGTAACCTAAGGATTCTTGTATTTGTACTGATCAAAGGTTCTACTTGCCAGATCACTGGAAAGAGAAGCTGGCTTATAACTTCTCTGAGACAAATCTTGCTGGATGATCGAGGAAACCAAAGACTTCTTGAATATATGTTGCTGATCTGAAACTAGGACTTTTATTAATTAAGGAATTGTGTTTTCCTGTTAATCTAGCTTGGGACTGCTAGACTCAACCTGGACTTGTATTGTGAGGTATTACTTGTCTCTCCCACTACCAAGTCTTTTTCCCTAATAAACCCCACTCTTGGTACCATAACAGTCAGTTAAGTCAGTGAGTCAAAAATATTGAACCCAGTGATTGGTGGAAACAGTTGCAGGAGCATGGGGGAAGGCATGTCTGATCTCACAGCTGTTTGTTACTATGTATATTATTGATGGGACAGTTCCCCTTTATGAAGCAGATAGAGGTCACACTCAGCCACCCTCACATTCTATCTGCTCCTTTCACAATAATATAATAGGAGAAAGTATGGAATTTGGAGTTCGACAAGTCTGACTCAAATTCTGCCTTTACCACTCATCTGACCTGGGCCTTGACTTCTGAGACTAAGTCTCTTCATCTACTGGTGGAAACAATGTCATCTAACATTAATACCTAAATGGTTTTGAAGATTAAACTACATGTAATATTTTAAATACCTGGTATAAAGTTCTCATGCATTGTTAGATACATCTCCCATTAAACTTTAAGGTGGAAACTAAGATTATGAATTTCCAAGTTTCCTTACACAGAAGATGGTAAGTAAATAACGTAAGGGTTTTTTTGTTGCTGTTGGTTTTTTCTTTTTCTTTTTAAATTTTATTTTATATTGGTTTAAATATAAAGTTCATATACATTGTTTTAAGTGAATACTGTTTAATATTTTCTTCAACGTCATTATAAAACATGAAGCCAAAGTATGTAAGGTTATAGAAGTACTTGCCTCTGTAGCAAGGATTCTCTTGTCACTTCAAATCTAACTTTAAAGGAAATCTAAAAAATTAAACATACTGAGTTCATATCATCTTGTAGTTGTCAGCCTCAACTCCTTGTCTTACTTCTATTTATTTCTTGATTCTCTATCCATTCCAGAAAGTGACCTACCAGCTTAACAGCTTCAAAACAGAAGAGTTTTGAAGTCAGATCTGTGTTTACATCTTTAGACAAGCTGCCTAACCCTTGTAAGCCTCAACTTATCACCTTCAGAAAGGGAATATAAAAAATTTCTATGCAGAATATATTGAGAATTAGAGGTAAGAGACATAAAGACTTTAAAAAGAGGCTTGCAATCATCCAAGATTTAATTATCTCAGATTTAAATCTGAGAGATACTAAAATTGCTCAAGTATGGCACATCAATCAATTTGTTATGAGGTAAGAGAAACTTAATGAAGAAAGAGTGCTGAATTCTAGACCCAGTTAACTAATAGACTAAAATCCTAAGCATATCTTTTCTAAGCCTTGGTGCTTTCATATAGAAAATAAACATAATGATCATTACATAATTGACTGGTCCTGAAGCTGCAACCAAAATAAAAAGAGCATTATAACTATTCAATTAATTATTTTGTTATAGAGTTTCACAAACATATTAATACCATCACTAATATCTTTTAAACATGCATCTTCTTTATTATAACCATCATTATGAATTTTAGAATGGGCAATACATTACACAAACTCATATAACAGACTGTATTACATATATATATATATATACACACACACACACACATATATATACTTCCTAAGACTTCAGTTGTTGTTGCTGTTAGGTGCTGCCCAGTCTAGTAAGATTCAGCAACTCTGCAAACAGACATAAACAGACCCTGTACTATCCTGTGCTGCCATCATCATCTCTGACACACTTGAGCCCACTGCTGCAAGACACCGTTATCAATCCACCTCATGGGAGGGTCTTCCTCTCTTGTCCAAACATTATATCCATTTGCAAGGAAAAAACTTTCCCAGCAACATGTTCAAGGTATGGGAAATGAAGCTTCAGTAGACAGTCTTTTTTTTCTGCTTTTGCCAAAACAAGTTCCCATGCCCCAATGTTACTCTATAATGACTTCAAATTACCTTTTCAAAGCTGAAAATGTTAATAGTGTTTCTAAATGTGTTGAGGTCTGTAGATCCCTTTTCCTTATTGAGTGCTGCTGGATATTGGATAAGGAGAGGATATCGTAGTCTGAGAGTAAATAATCAAGCTTTTCTGAAATAAAGAAAAAAAGGTTATTAGCACTCTAAGCTACTTAATCAACAGCAACATCACTAAAATGAAGAACCAGGCAATAATCTCTTCCTAATGTAATAAAATATGAAGTATCTCCTGTATAACCTTACAATAATATTCAAACTATTTGTAACTGAACCTGAATGTAATAAAGATTTAACTTCAGTTTTTAAGACATAAAGGGTTTATATGTTAATTTAAAGAACACCTGAAGATGTGACATACTAAGAATGTCAGCATTTCCACAGAACAAATGACCCAATTTCTTTAAGAAATACATGGCAAAGGGGGGGAAGGGAGGGGTGGAAACATAAATAGAAACAGACTTAAGAAATACAGCAAGCAAATCCAATGGATGAACCTCTCCGCTCCTAGATTAAACAAATTAACTATGAAAAGAACTTTCAGATAATTTGGGAAATCTGATTTTGGACTGCTTATTAGATACTGGTAATTATGTTATCTTAAGGTACATCATATTATGAAATAACTTAAAATTTTAAGACATTTCTAGCATGTAGGTTTAGAATTTCTAAGATAAAGATGATCAACTCGGCCAATCCATTGCCATTCTGACTTACATAAATTACTCATAATGTGAGGGCACCAAAACTGGGAAAATAAGTCATTTACGAAAAATTACATATTCAAATTTAGCAGCAAAAAGTGGTATTCCGATCACTGTTTTCCTCAGCAGACATACAGTTAGAAGGCAAAAACCCAAAATTATCCCTGGAAAGAAATCTATATAAATTATTTTAAACTGGCTTGACAACAAAGACATGCTTAGCCCTAAAGATAGAATAAGTACAAATAAAATTGTACTTGATATAGAGCAAACTCACTGGGGAATCTGCTACACATCCAATCTACTTTTCATCAACATTTAACTCTGCTGCCTTCTCTATAATGAAAAGAACTTTTGGAAGACAATTTGGCTTGAGTCTCTTTTAAAACTGTCTAAAAATATGTAAGCTGATGTTTTCCTTCTCTCTCAACAAATACCACTGCAGAAGCAATGGTATTCAAAATCATTCCACTGGACTTAGAATGTCTTCAAAATATAGCAGGAGGAGGCTAAAATACAAGTTTACTGTTACTGATGTTAAATATACTCACAAAACCATTCTGAAAAGAAAAAAAAATTAAACCAATGTTTCTCTTCTTCACCTTCCCTTAAGTCCTTAATTGGTTCATTCATTAACTCATACATTCATTGTTATGTGTTAGGCACTGGTCTAAGCATTTTAGATACAGCATTAAATAAAACATAACTATTTTGTCATGAGCATGCATTTTGGTGTGCAACGCAATGCAGAAGTAAATATAGAAAATGCAGATACTGAAGCAAAATACTGCCTAGTTCAGACTCGACTGTACAACATAACAATTATAATACTTTGAGAACTCTGGTAGCTTAGTATGTAAGGAACTGTGCTGCTAAACCAAAGGTGGCACCTCTCTGGCAGTTAAATCTACCAGCAGCTCCGAGGAAGAAAGGTAATCTCCTCAGAATACCTGCTTGAGGGTCAGCTGTGAGCCTGTACTAACCCAATGGCAATTAGCTGAGTTTTTAATTATAATATTTAGAGACACCAAAGGAAAAAATCTTCAATCTTGCTATTTATTCAATAATGTTTAAGTTGTAATTACTGAAAAGGAGCCCTGGAGGCACAACAGGTTAATTATTGGGCTTCTAACCAAAAGACCGGTGGTTCAAATTATTTGCCCCATGGAAGAAGACAAGCAGCATCTAGAAAGATTAACAGTCTTGGAAACCCTATAGGGCAGTTCTACTCTGTCCTATGGTCACTGTAAATTGGAACTGACTGGACAGCAGTGGGTTTGGCTTTTTTGTTGTTGCTGGTTTGGTTTAATTATTTAAGAGACACCAGAGTTTATATATATTATCTCTGCAAACCTTGCTACCACCTAGCTACTATGCTATTACTGTTTTATAAACCCAAAAGTCACTTAACTAATATAGAACAGAAATGGGATTTGAAAGGGCCCTTGGTAGCTCCAAAATGCAGACTTTATTAACCTTCTATTTCTTTGTCTCCTCCTTTGGGGCATGTCAACCTCCTTTTCCTAAGTTTCTAAAGCCCTTCATTTACGTCTTTCTTCTGGCACTTTTTTGTTGGAACATACCTGTTTTACTCAAGCAGATTATAAAATGGCCAAAGAGGGGTCTGCGCTTTATTCATTATAGTACATGACATGAAATCTTACACATACAGCACTCAAATATTCAGAAACTGCACTAATTTTCAAGTAAGTAGCTAAGATGCCACTTCCCTAACAGAGGTTGATAGGTTGGTATAGTTCTTTAACTTCCCTAAAGCAAGTTCACACATGCATTCAGTTTCATCCAAGATCATAATCTCTCCCACGGTCTGAAAAACTTAATCTCAATATTATATTTTCATGTCAGTGTTATAGACCAGTAGTTCACAGCTCTCAAAGTGATACATTACCATGGGAACTTACTAGAAATGGAAATTCTCTAAGGCCTACTGAATATGTAATTGTCTGGATGGCCCAGCAACCTCTAATTAATAAACCTTCCAGGTGATTCTAATGTACATTCAAGTTTGAGAACACTGAACTATACTAAACGAAGGGCAGAGCTCAAAGTGAAGAAAAACTCACTAAGTGCAAAGAGTTTACTGCACTTGATACTAGGCAATGCCACAAAATCCATCTTTCTTAGTTCAATATATAGTTGTATGTGCTTTCATAAAAACTCCACAACAGCTGCATATCCCTCTAAAAATGTTTTCTTAAATTCTATACATTGTTTCAGTAATCACCTCAAGCTTTTAGCACAAATTGGAAAAAAGAGCTTGACTTAAATTAAAAAGTCAGTACTGTACGCCCTATCCACTCTCCCTACTCTTCTCTGCCATTTTCCCCTTGTTACCGTTTCCCTTGTCTAGTCTCCATGCTAGTCCTCTTCAGAGATGCTGGTCTTCAATGCTTCCTCAGACTCCCACCTCTCCTCTCCTATACATTCACCTTTATGCTTTCACTTTTCCATCAGACTCCGCTTATTTGTTTATTCAACAAACATTTTTATTAATTTTTGTATTTTATACTGGTTTGCTTACAAAGTTTATATACATTATTTTTCACACTGGATCATTCCCACTTCCTTTACCTAACCCTCCCTCTACCTACCAAATTGTACGACCCTATGATTACCCTCTGCTCCTATCCTCCCTGCCTTGGATCCTCATACACGTTTTACTAGTTCTCTATTTCTATAATAATGGTCTTACACAGTATTTGTATGGGACTGAGTTCATTCACTTAGCATAATGCTCTCCAGTCCCTCCTAGGTTACGTAGTAATTTTCTAAATTACATGCTCCTGCATGCTGCATAGTATTCTACCGTGTGAATGTACCACAATTTCTCAATCCATTCAATGTGGTTGGGCACTTGGGCTGTTTCTATGCTCTTGTGATGGTGAATAATGCTGCTGTGAATACTAGTGTACAAATCTCATTTCTAATTTTCTCAGGGTTTATTCCAAGTAGTGGAAGAGCTGGGTCATATGGAATTTCTATGTTCAGCTTTTTGAAGAAACATCAAACTGCCTTCCTGAGTGGTTTACCATTTTACAATCCCACCAACAGGGTATAAGAGTTCCTATAGCTCCACATCTCTCCAACATTTATTACTTTCTGTCCTGTTAAATTTTGCCACTGCTACTGGGGTGAGAAAGGTTTTGGTTTGCATCTCTCTTATTGCCAGTGATTTTGAGCATTTCTTCATGTGTCCAATAAATATTTTTATTAAGAATCTCCGGCCTCCAGCATTGAGCTGAGTGAACTCACTCAGTCTCACTAGGACAAATACTGTATAAAACAATTATTGTAGAATGAGTATGAGGATGTAAAGGGAGGGTGGGGGGGGCAGAAATAAAGGGATGAGGAAGGGGGGTAGAGTGTTAATCATAGGGTTGCACAATTTGATGGGTGGGTGAGGTGAAGGAAATGGGAAGGATCTTTTGTGGAAAACAATGTATTCAAACTTTGTAAATAAATTAGATTAAAATTAAAAAAGAAATGCATACACAAAAAAAGACTATGTACAGAAATGACTGTATAAAACTACATGTACAGGAATGAATCAATGTATATGAATAACTGTATAAAAGTGAAAAAAAAAAAAAAATCTCCTACCTCCCAGGCACTAGAGCTATATAAAACAAAGAAAAACACATTTTCAGGTTTGACACTGGGGAAATACTATTAAACAAAAAAATTTTATTGTCTCAAGTGTTAAGACATTAAAGGAAGTTGTGTGTTATAGAAGGACACAGTGACAGTAATGACCCTCGACTGATGAGCCAAGATGATTTCCTAAGGAAGCAGTATTGAAGGAAAACCAAAAGAGAAACAGTTAAGAGAAGGGGATAGAAAGGAGAGAGTTCTGGGTAGAGATCCTAACCTAAACTTAAGTCTAAAAGAAATACAGAACATGATACTGAGAAATGAAATGAGCTGGAATGTAGAAGGGCAGACAGTATGATGACTAAAGAGGCAAGCCTGGGTCAAATCATGAAGGTCCAGAAACAAAATTAAGGATTTTGGAGACTGCATCAGGGCAATAGCTATAAATCAGAAATTTCAATCTGGCTGCAGCACAGAGAATGGGCTAGGAGAAAAGAAGACTGGTGTCTGAGAAAATAACTGCAGTGAGAGAATAACTTTGTGAGTCAGACCTGGACATAACTGCCATTATCTTCATGAGTCTCAAATGTTTTCCAACTTTGACAGGGTGCAGTCTTATCACATTTCTATCACTCATTTTAGTAGAAAATATTTGCATTTCCCTTCCTTGACAGGTTTCTACCATATACAGATTGCAGCTTTCACTAGTTTTACTGTAGCCAGTTGTTGAGCAATACAGCTACAAATCACAAGAGTACCTGGAAGGATAATGGTATCATTCATTGAGACTTTAAAAAAA